CAAAGTAGAATATTTTAAGTAAATAAGCTTGGTTTGTATAATTATGTTTTCCATTTTTTATTATACACAGATTCAAAATAAATCTTCCTTGGTTAGTTACTGGTGAAATGTTAGTCTCAAAATACACATTCTATTAATTAAGCCTAATTGCTTTAAATGAAAAGTGACACTGTGACTGTTACACTTTGCCACCATCAAATATGTTGATGATACAAGACAGATAGAGCTTGTAGTTGCTTACATGTTTAAATAGAATCTCAAACCTTCTATGCAAAATTATGTTATGAAGCAGGTAGATTCGTGTTTGAAATAATTGAATTTCATCAGTTAACAATACTGTTTTCATCTTTTATGATGATTGTGGTTTATGATGCAATGTATACAAATCTATGTACATATATACATACTTATACATGTTTGTGGACTTGTGATGGCATGTCACATATATATACATATATATATATGCATATCTTTGGAAAGTATGTCAACTTCAGGTAGAATTTTCCCAATAAGATACTTCAGTTTTTAATAAATTAAGCATGATCTCTATATTCTTAAATACACTTTACAGATCCTGTAAACATTATACTAAGTGAAAGAACATAGGCACTAAGGGTCACAGATTGTATCACACCCACCGATGAACTGAAGTGCCCAGTGCTACTGAGTCTATAGAGGTGGACAGCAGATCCCTGGTTATCAGTGGTTGGTTGGATGCAGAGATAAGAGACTGCACAGTGGGTACTGATTTTCCTTCTGAGGTGACAAAAATAATATGGAACTAAACAGTTATTATGGCTACACAATATTATTAAGGTATGAAATGCCATTAATGGCTAATCCTATGTGCATCCAAGAATACATTTGAACACTTATTGTACATATCTCAGTTTACAAAAGATATTCCAGAAAACTCACTGGCTGGAAGGTCTTCAAAATGATGTTCAACGATGATTTTATCTATCTTTAAAGTACCAAGTGCCTTTGGCCTCTTCAGAAAGTTTCTTTCTATGAGTTGGAAGGAATTTTCAGGCTTCTTAGAATGGTGAAGGACATTTTTGGTGCTGATAAAAAGCAAGATGTGCTCTGAAAACTTCATTGTCTAATGACTTTTACGATTTGAGTTATATGTTCTGGTAAGGAAAGATAATTGCTTGACAGAAGCCAAAAAAGGACAAGCGGATCATGCTCACATAATGTAAAATATGTATTGTAAATTAATATCATGCATGGATGGTTGCATTCATTGTAACATGTATTTGTGATTCCCGTCAAGCAACAATACAGTTAAGTAAAATAACTTGTTCTCAGTTGGAGTGAGTACGATTCCAGATGCAGATCTGGGGTTTTGAAGGAAAGTCATAGTAGCAGCAGGATTTTCATGTCTGCATTGCCTAAACCAGGAGGACTCCTGCTTTGTTTTCCTGTTTGGTGTATCATAAAATTAAGTGGTAGATAGAAACATAGTGTGGGAAGTTGAATGGATTTTAATTCTACTCACCAGTCTGTCGGTACAACTCTCTGTGAGAACGTCGTCTGCCTGTTTATCTAAGCCAACATAGAGAAGGAAAGTGCAAATAAAAGGAATGAATGAGAGTGTGAGCAGGCATGTGTGGTAGAAGCAAATAGCAAAAGTAGTGGGGACGTGTGGATTGCTGCTATGAACACATGAAGAGAGTGCCTTTCAACCCCAAACCTAAGAGCAACAATGATTATTAGTTTCCACTGCTATCCAACAGCTACTAAAAATACTGGCTGTGTGCCAGTGTTTCCCTACAAAACTAAGACTGCCCAAATTAAATGAACTTATTTATTGAAATAAACACCCAGATTTTGAAAGAATGTTTACAAAAACATGGTTGCCTTTTCAGCAATTCTGACCCCACAGTGTAAGGATTGAGACATGTTCTTAGTGTATGGCTTACAATATTGAATACAGAAAGAGGTTTCTGCCAGTTTAGCACATTTTATGTTCTAACCAATATTTCTTTTCTTTTGCTTTCAAACTTGGTACAAAATTATATGGCTTTATAGGTTTTGGTAATTTAAAAACTATTCTGACCTTTTCAAAGAGAATAAACATATGGAGTATGAAGAGGAACTCAGGAGGAGTTTTGAAATAACCTTTCAAAGACTCCAAATATTTTGTATAAAATGGCTTTCTTCCCTATCGGCTGAGTAACTGAGGAATAAAGCAGGCTTTTCCATTAAGCCATTATTTCAGAATCAGTGGTCCCAGACGACCACCCTCCCTGTGGATGCTCCTTGAGCAGATGGTACAGACAACATGGGGGATATTAAGGAGACAGTGCAAGAAGCAATTACATCACCATTGAGTATTAGTGCTCAGTGATTCTGTACAGTGCTTCAGAATTGGAGAAGTCTAGAAAACAAAAGTAACTGAGTATTTGGAGGACTTATATTTATTCTTATTTTTTTACAAATTAATTTTCTGGTCAGTTTTTAACTTGGCAGCTTTGGATAGGATACCTTAAAACAGGAAAAGCTCAGGATTATTTCTCAATTGGTCTATGAATTTCTAATTGTTATTCAAATCACATATCCTTTCTAATTAAAAGGAGAAATTTATTGATAGTAATATCAGAAATATCTTGAAAATAATATATATATACATATGCATATTAAAAATTACCTTGTCACTGTGCAAAAAAAATCTGTGTAATCCCAGGGGAGACCATGGAAAAGAACTATGAACACAAAATCCCATCCCAAGCTGAGCAGCTAACTATTGGGAATCCATAGCTACTGGGAGAGGGGGGTTTCTTTCCTTTCTTTCTTTCTTTCTTCCTTTCTTTCTTCCTTTCTTTCTTCCTTTCTTTTTTAGTTTTTTTGTGATTCTTTCACTTAAATTAAAAACAGTCTTATTTTACATACCAATCCGTTTCCTCTCCCTCCAGCCCTCCCACTCCCCTCACCATTTTGCATCCCAGCCACCATCCATTCCTCAGAGAGGGTGAGATCTCCCTTGGGGGATCATCAAAGTCTGTCACATCATTTGGGGCAGGACTGAGGCCCTCCGCATTGCATCTAGACTGAGAAAGGATCACAGCATGGGAATGGGCTCCAAAAAGCCAGGTCATGCACTAGGATAAATATTGGTTCCACTGCCAGCAGCCCCATAGACTGCCCATGCTCCCAACTGAAAGTCACATTCAGGGGGCCTGGTTCGATCCTATGCAGCTTCCCCAGCTGTCAGACTGGGGTATGTGAGTTTCCACCTGCTCAGGTCAGCTGCTTCTGTGGAGATTTCCCGAGTGCCAGATTTCTCCTTAAGCCCATAATGACTCCCTCTACTAAGGTATCTTTTTCCTTGCTGTGCTGGTCTGTTCATCCCCCAACTTGACCTTCCTGATCCCTCATGTTCTCCTCCCCACAAAGTTTGATGTTCAGGGAGGGAGGATAACTCTGGGGAGTTGGAAAAGGGGGTTAATATATTCAAAAGAAATTTCATAAAATTTTCTTAGAATTTATATATTCCTATTGCTAAATGCCAAACATTTACTGGTGCTTATATCTTTTCTGAAATACCAAGTACAGCCACAAGAAGAGACAAAAGATGATTCATGGAACATCTAGCAGGCAGAGGGGGGAAAGTCTGGTATGTAAGCTTAGTTGCAGTTGGAGGGAAGTACCACTGGTGTGCAAGTACTGATCAGATTGTGTTTTCAATATTCAGGGCAAAACATGAATTTTACTTGCGTAAATAACAAAGTGTAAGATTTCAGAAGCCCCTTTATGTCTTGCTTACTATATTTGATATTAAATAAATAAGAAAATGGTTGGGTTTTTAGTTTGTCTGTATAGCTCCAGTATATTTCAGATAGCCTAAGCTTTCTTCAAGCATATGCATAAACCATATTAAATAAAGTCCATAGGTTTACTCACTTTAAAAATGTAAGGAGAAAACTAATAATAAAACTCCCTGTTGTGTAGTGTGGTCAGGTACACCTGTAGTTTTTTCACATGAAAGGTGGAGGCAGAAGGGTTAGGAAGATCAGAATAATCCTTGGTTACATAGTGAGAGGGAGGCTATCCTGCGACTCTGGCTCAAAAAGCTGAAACTATGTGTGCAAAAACCACACACACACACACACACACACACTCTCTCTCTCTCTCTCTCTCTCTCTCTCTCTCTCTCTCTCTCTCTCTCTCTCTCTCTCATACACCATGCTAAACTTTGGTTAAAAACATTCACTCTTCTTTTACAATAATCTTTAAAATATATAGTTGGAAGATGTCAGTATAAATATCAATTTAAAATATTTCTGGGATTAACCATCATTATTATTTTTAGTATTTGTGAGTCATCTTTTATTTTCAGAAATTATTTATTTTATACAACTTGTCATATTAAACAAATTTTGATATTAAACAAAATTCAATAGTAAACAAGTGTTTCATGTCAGGTGTAGAGGTACACACATTCAATCCTAGCACTCAGGACACAGAGTCAGACAAATCTCTAGGAGTTCTGGGCCAGCCTGATCTACATGGTAAGTTCCAATTCTATCTACAAAGGCTGCATAGTGAGATCTTGCCTCAAAAAATATAAATAAAATTTTATGACTCTAAAAGTATACATTGTTATTTTTGCAGAACAGAAATCTTTCAGAATAAATATAACTGAATTTTATTAGATATGTAGAAGAAATGTTTCTTAAAGTATAATGGAGAAAATACTTGGCTTCAAATGTCTAACCACTATCTAATATTTTAATATGGCAAATCAGAAAAGTAAAATTTGAAGGAAAAAAAAGCAAAAAAGTGTGATGAACTGTTATCCTCCGTGGTCTTTTATTAGAAAACTCGAGGGTCACCGGTTAAAACAGTATTATATCGCTGCCGTTTCACAGCTTTCTCCATCGTATACATATTCCAGATTTCCGTATTGCAATTGGTGAAGCTACAGTGACATACATTAGTACACTACACTTCTTAAAGCCTTTCTCTATTTTTCTTCTGTTCTCCCCCCTCTTCAGGATTACAGAGTAAATATTTTCCTTCGTCAGAAATGGAATGATCCCCGTCTTGCCTACAGTGAATATCCCGACGATTCGTTAGACCTTGACCCGTCCATGTTGGACTCCATTTGGAAACCAGACTTGTTCTTTGCTAATGAGAAGGGGGCTAACTTCCACGAAGTCACCACAGATAACAAGCTGTTGAGAATTTTCAAAAATGGAAATGTCCTGTACTCAATAAGGTAAGCACAGACAGACTTAAATATCCAGTTTTAGTAAAACTGGGTTTGGTTTTTGCTTGTTTTGTTTATGCCTGTTGGCATAGTGTTGAAATGTGGGTGATTGAGCTGTGCCACTAAATGAGATTCCAAAGACATCTAATCAGTAACAACAGTCATAATTATCTAATCCAGGGACAATATGAACACCAAAATCTATCTTAATAAGTCAATGATGAATATTAAGGTAAGTAAGTTGGCAGGATCACACAGGCGACTGAAAAGTATCTGGGTCATATATCAAGGCTCTAGAACTCGTCCAACTTTGGTAGGCCATCAAATATCAAATAGGTACAGACTTAGTAAACAGAAAAAGTAACTATTTACAGGGATTTGCTTAATTAGCTTCACATTTTAAACACCTTCCAAAATATATGAATTATTGTTGAAAAAAGTATTTTGTAGTAGTTGTTTTCTTAGCTGTGATAAACAAAAGGCCAAGGACAGAATTCATGGCGTCTTTTTGACAGGAGACTATGCGATGCTTAAACCGACATGCTACGTTGAAATATCGTATCAATAGTAACATGTTCTTAAATGTAAAGAAACTTAGATGTCATATTTAGGCTTTAAGCATAAATTAACTCCCTTTCTGTCTTAGTTTTGTTGTTCTTATTTATTGTTCTTTTCGTAAGGAATAGACGTATTTCATTTTCATCTTGTCTTTCAAATATCTAAGGTGTTTCTACTTTTACCAAGTAGTAAAATGTGTATGAAAATGAATTTTTAATCTTAGTGGCATGGTGATTTTGAAACTTTTCAGCCAAGGGATTTTCCAAGTTATGTTGTTTTGTCTTTACTTTTCATCTCTTCCTTCTATTTGACTCAGATGGCTTTTCATATTTTCCTCTTTCATGTGCCTATACTCCCCTTTAATAATTTTCCCACATCCCAAAAGTGTCTACAATTAACTGGCAAATTCTTTAGAATTCTGAAACCTGGTAAATCATACCCATGAAACAAAGAAAGTACTAGGACTCATCTCTAGTTAAGACAATCCCTATTTGGAAGAAAAGTTTCAAGGTGACCCCAGACCTGGATAAGAGGGTTCTGAGACCTTTAGGGAAATTATCAAAATAAATAACAGAAAAGTAAGAATATAACTTCTGGGAAATTGCATTAGGCAAATATTTTCCTATTCTACCTAAACATAACTGAAAGCACTGGACACAATATATATAACAAGCTAAAAGAAATACTCAAGAGGTGGATGAAGCTGACTAGCTTACTATGGGCTCTGAAACCTGAGGACAATGCAGCATGGATGATTCTTGAAATTTTTTTCTGGCCTTATATATCCCATACTTGAATATTGGTTAGAAGACCTTGACTTCTACTTGTATATGATGAAATTCCAATAAGAAAAAAAACAGCAAAAACGGGTTAAATACAATAGATTTTTCCTTCTTATCCTTAGTTTGCTAAATTACTTTTGACAGCTGAGCTCAAATTATAACTGATGCAGAAAGAAAATGAAAATACAAAATCAGACAATTGCAGAAAATGCACTTCAACATGTCAATGGTGATTCTTAGCCTCAATTGGGTTCTAATTTTTATAACAAATAGACATTAGCAATGCTGATACTACTTAGTGGTGATGAATACTGATTCAGTAGGCATATATTGGTGCTATTAACAATTGGCAAGATGCTTTGTTAAAATGTGACAAGATTCATGTGTTTCCCAACTTGATAAATTTATTTCCAGGAATCAAAATTACATACTTACTGTATGTATGTAAAATCTGCATACAGAAGTACCTCTTATAGCAACAACAACAAAATAGCTTATACGTTCATTAATAAGGAAATGACTGAGGAGCTGGAGAAACACCTCAATAGTTAAGAGCTCTGACTGCTTTTCAGATGACCCAGCTTCCATTCCCAGAACCAATATGGTGGCTCACAATTATCTATAACTACAGTTTCAGTGGAATCAATAAATGTTGTCTAGTGGGCACCAGACACACATGTGATTCACAAATGTATGCGCAGGCCAATGTTCATATTCATAAAATAATATAATAAATTTTAAGAAAGAATATGACTGAACCCAGTGATAGGTTCATATTATTAAATATTTTGCATCAGTTATACATGAATATATTGAATAATAGCTGCCTAAAAGATAAATTTATGGATATATATAATGCATAAATAAAATATATATGAATATATCTTAATGGATATAAATTTTGAAGAGGGCAAGCTGAGGGTTTACATGGGAGAGTTGACTGGAAGAAAAGAGGATAAATTTTGTAATTACATAAAAAAGTATTTAAAGTATTACAAATACATATAAATACATACATATATATCTCCTAGTGTTAGGAAGGTGGAAAAAGGCATGTGTCTGAGATCTTGCTAATTGGTCAGAAGAGCCTACATGGTGATTCACAGGTCAAAATCAGAGAGCCTTCATCCAGTAACTCATGGAAGCAGATGCAGAGATCCACAGCCAAGCACTGGGTTCAGTTCCAGGAATTCAGCTCAGGAGAGAGAAGAGGGATTATACAAACAAAGAGGATCAAAATCATTAAGGAAGACTCACAGAGACAGCTGACTCTGGACTGACAGCTAGGGAGCCTGCATGGGACTTACCTAGGTCCTCATTATGTGGGTAAAAATTGTGTAGCTTTTTCTATTTGTGGGACTCCTAGCAGTGGAATCAAGACCTGTCCCCAATGCTTACCTGGCTTTTGGTAACCTGTTCCCCATGCTGGATTACCTTGCCCAGCCTTTAATGCAAAGAATAAGAACTTAGTCTTCATATATTCCCACATTATTAAAAATAAACTAGAGTTCTTCATGTGGGGAGAAACTTTTGATAACAATGTTATGTCTTGCAAGCTTATAACAATAAAGTATGTCCATTTTGAAGATTCCTCCACCAAGTTAGATCTATTATATATTTTAAGACCACACCAATTCCTCCATTAAAATACATTGTGCTACAATTGTCAAATTTTATTTAAAAGAGAATTCTATATTTGTCAGGACCTAGTTATTGTGTCTCTTGTAAATGCTGGAGTATTTTGTTTGAAAATAGAGGAAGATGATGGATTTATATCTTTTGTAAGTGGTATCATCCATTACAGAAAGCTTGTATTTCTTCTAATATTTGGAGAAAAGGCTATGGAATGATTCAGAAATGCATCTTTTATCTTTCAGTATGAATTTAGATGAAACAGATGGTCTTTTGGTTCATAGTCATTCCTGTGTCCTGGATCAAATGATCAAACAAAAAATATTTTTGTGAGTTGATTTTGGATATCTCACAGGACTTTGAAATCTTCAAATGCTCCAAATCTTCAGCTTTTTGATAGAAAAAACTATACTAGAAAACAAACTTGCTCAGTTTGCAAATGGAGCATCTGTGCTGTTTCATGTGAGATCTGGCTTCCTCGCCTGTTGAAAGAAGGCAGAATTTCCTTGGCAATCGCAATGAAGGGAACTTGAGCAGTCATCTGCATGCCATCTTTAAATCTCACTGAAACAGTTAACTGAATTGAAAAATGAGGAAAGATGCCACTGGTGTGCAGGAAGTTGAAACAAACAGACAATAAACTAACAACAGACATGTAGGGAGAACATCATCTAGGAGGCTTGGGAATGAATGTGGGAACTGACTTAGACAGACATGGCAGAGTGGAAAAATACCAGAAGGCAGAAAATAATTATGATCTTCAAACTTTTGGCAATTTTAGGCAAGAAGGACTTCAAAAATGCAGGAGAGCAAAGAACTAAAATGAAAAGGGGGAGGAGAAAGAAAGAAGGAGGAGGAGGAAGAGGAGGAGAGGGAGGAAGGAAGGAAGGAAGGAAGGTGGGAAGGAAGGAAGGAAGGAGGGAGGGAGGGAGGGAGGGAAGGAAGGAAGGAAGGAAGGAAGGAAGGAAGGAAGGAAGGAAGGAAGGAAGGAAGGAAGGAAGGAAGGAAGGAAGGGAGAGCAGATTTAAACTTTTAGGAACATCAGTGAACCTCCTGTCCTGATTTTCTCATCCATGGGCTTCAATCAAGGATTTCTTTTCTTGCCTTCATACCTGGGCAGAAGCAGGATAGAAAACAGCCCAGAAGTATTTCCAAGAGTTCCAAGAGCAAAGACATAGGCATCATCTTGTAATTCTCAAGAGGTATCAAACCAAGAACATGAGAATGTGATGAGATAGATTGTAAAGGAAACAGTTATGTGGCTTGATGAACACTAACATTCTGAAAGTCACAGCTAAACACCTCTTGCACAGTACATGCATAATATATTTCTGGTGGAACTTAGCTACCCTAGGGAAAAGAGCAACTGAGGAGCTAGCGATGCTGACAGTTGTATCGCCATATAATCCTATAGCTATGAATATTATTCCATAATCTTATCTCTTCAGCTGTACTACACAGAACTTTTACTGTCTCTGTCTCAGAAACAGCCACTTGAAAATATCTTCTCATTTTCTTTATGGCAGAGACCAGAGAACCAGGCAAAGAAAAAACAAAAAGAAAAAAAAACTAACAAAGACATGACTGAAGAGAGGCCCAAAAAGAGTACTTTTAAATTCTCTGGACAAATAAAATTGCATGTATAAATCAATACTTCCAGAAATTAAGATAAACACACATTAATACTCTATATGAGCAATAGTGGGGAGAATCAGGTAAGATAGAAGAAACTTCCAAGAAAGTAGAAAACATGCACACACACACACACACACACACACACACACACACACACACAACCAATCAGATGGCAGAAGAATGTAAAAAGTCTGAGCATCAGTACAGAAACCCAAACATGAATTGAAAGGCATAACAGAACAGAAAGAATTTCCACTGAAATAGCACATACAGATACCCTGCTGTTTTTAACCACTAAGGAGTGAGTAGCAGCTACACTGAGTAGAACTTGAAGCAGCTGTAAGAATATAAAAGTGTAAAGATACTTAACATGAGACTCTTATTAATACTAAGGAAAAAACA